AAGGAACTCAAATGTTTCGGGTGTGGTGGTCACCACAAGAGGGCTGACTGCAGGTTCCGCACAGCTGTCTGCAGAGCATGTGGAAGACAAGGTCACATCGCAGCCGTTTGCCTAAGACGTGGAAAGGTAAAGTATCAAGAAGAATTGCACCAGAAAAACACTAAGGTCCCTAGTCAGAATAGAGTAGGCTTCTGCGCATTGCGCAGAAGTGTTTATAGAACAGGCACACATAGACCACTTAAAAAGAAGTTGTCACTTAAGGTGAAGCTGCAGGGAGTGCCATTAGTTATGGAGCTGGATACGGGATCCACCCTGTCCATTATTTCATTGCATACTTTCAGGAAAATCTGCACTAGCAGTGGAGTTCAGGTGAGGCTAAGGCCTTCCAATATCGTACTAACTGATTTCCAAAACTCTAGAGTGTGCATTAAGGGGGAGGCCACCCTTTCTGTACAGTATAAGAGTTTTGTGGGTCCTTTGGATGTTCTGGTTGTTGGGGGTGAAAGAATGAGTCTGATAGGACTTGATTGGTTTGAGGCCTTGGGAATTCAAGTCACTGGCTTGCATAGCCTGCAAACATTAAGCCTTACAGCAGTATGTGAGGAGTTTGCAGATGTGTTTAGTTCACAGCTTGGATCTTACCAAGGGCCTCCTGTTTCGTTGAAACTTGACCCCAACATCACACCCATTCGAGTTAAGGCCAGGAGAGTGCCTTTTGCGTTGAAAGGAAAAATTGATGCTGAATTGGATAAGTTAATCCAACAAGGCATTTTAGAACCTGTAGACTCGAGTACATGGGAAACCCCCATTGTTACGCCTCTTAAGGCTAATGGGGACATACGTATTTGTGCTGATTACAAATGCACTATAAATAAGGCACTTCAGCAGCACGCTTATCCTGTTCCTGTAGTGGGGTATATTCTGGCTTCTCTTAAAGGAGGGAAGTTTTTCACAAAGCTAGATTTGGCTCAAGCGTACCAACAGTTACCTGTTGATGAAGCAGCTGCTGAGGCACAGACCATTGTGACACACAGGGGTGCCTTAAAGGTGAAGAGGCTCCAGTTTGGAGTAAATGTAGCACCCGGTATTTTCCAGAGTGTGATGGAAAACACATTAAGCGGCATTCCTGGGGTTTGCCCTTATTTCGATGATGTTCTCATTGCTGGGGATTCTGTGCATAATCTGGCAGAACGACTGAGGGCTGTTCTGCTGCGGTTTAGGAAGGCAGGGTTAAAGCTTAAAAGGAACAAATGCAAGATAGGAGTCATGTCCACTGACTTTTTGGGATTCAGAATAGATGCACAAGGCATTCACCCTGCTGAATCAAAGCTGAAGGCCATCCAGGAGGCTCCCCGTCCCAAGTCAAAAGGCGAATTGCAAGCTTTTTTAGGCCTTTTGAATTTCTATAATGTTTTCCTTCCTCACAAGGCTGCTGTGGCGGAGCCTTTACATAGACTATTGGACAAACAGGCAGTCTGGCAGTGGACCAAGGCTCACGATCAGAGTTTTGCTGGGGTTAAGGCCTTGCTCATGTCCAATAATGTGCTTGCTCATTTTGACGAGAGACTTCCTGTTTGCATCGCTTGTGATGCTTCCCCTTATGGGGTGGGTGCTGTTTTGAGTCATTTGAAGGCTGATGGAACTCAGGTTCCAGTTGCTTATTACTCCAGGACTCTTTCTTCTGCTGAGCGTAACTATGCTCAAATTGATAGGGAGGCTTTGGCTATCATTGCGGGTATTAAGAAATTCCATGATTTCATATATGGTAGGCATTTCACGGTCTATACTGACCATAAGCCTTTGCTAGGGCTGTTCACTACAAATAGGCAGACACCTCAAATCATTTCTCTGCTCATGTTGCGGTGGTCTATTTTTTTGTCCGCTTATGATTTTTCCTTAATTCACAAACCTGGAAAAGAGATGGGCCATGCGGATGGCCTAAGTAGGCTACCCCTGCCTGATGTGGAGGCTGACCCCACTCCTGCCATTAACATCCTTTCCATTCAGGAGTTGCCGGAATCTCCCCTGAATGCCCGGGATGTAGCTGCTGAAACTGCCTCTGACTCCACGCTTACACGCGTACTGTCTTGGGTACTATCTGGGTGGCCTGATAGGTGCCCTGGTACTGAGTTTCAAAGTTATTGGTACAAGAGGCACGAGCTATCCACCTTTAAGAGTTGCCTATTGTGGGGCAGCCGCGTAGTCATTCCTACCTCGTTAAGGTCTAGGGTCCTGATCTCCCTTCATGAAGGTCATCCTGGCATTGTCCGGATGAAGGCTGAACGGGCATCAGTGAATACCACCGGTCCCAATCTATCCCTGTATCTCCGTGTACATGTACCCACAGTGAACACGGTCGCGAGCTCCGCAGAGATGCCCCAGGCACCTGTGCACAAGTGGGAAGAAACGCTTAGGCCGTGGTCACGTGTACACGTAGACTACGCTGGACCATTTCAGGGGCAATTCTTCTTGGTGCTTGGGGACAGCCATTCTAAATGGCTGGAGGTCATACCTGTATCATCCACCACTACTGGCAGAACCATCCAGGTGTTGAGGGGCATTTTTGCAGCTCACGGCTTGCCAGATGTCTTAGTTTCAGACAACGACCCGCAGTTCACGTCGGCTGAGTTCCAGGCTTTCCTTCAAGCAAACATGATCCGGCATGCGACATCGGCACCTTTCCACCCTTCCACCAACGGTATGGCTGAACGGATGGTGCGCGTCACCAAGGACGCCCTGAAGAAGCTGACTTATGGGGATTGGCATCATCGGTTTGCTGATTTCCTTTTTGCTCGTCGCACTACACCTTCTGTAGCAACTGGGAAAAGTCCAGCTGAACTACGCTGGGGTCGTCGACTGACCACTAAATTGGACAGGTTGCATCCTGATCGGTTGGTTCCTTTGGAGTCTCCAACTAGGGCCCCACAGTGTTTGACCGTGGGCATGCCGGTGTGGTCCCGGAACTATGGCCCTGGCCACCCTTGGGTTCCTGCTGTTGTATACAAGGTGACTGGACCGTTGTCATATGAGGTCTCCGTAGAGGGCGGCCGCGTCCTGAGACGACACATTGATCAGCTTCGCCAAAGACTGGACTCTTCTCCTCCTTCACCTGGGTCTTCTGTGGGGGGGAGGGGGACCTGGAGGGAACAGGGGAGGGTTTGTCCCAAGGTTCCGCAAGTGTGCCCAATGGAAATTCATGGGAGAATAACCCAGAACACCCTGCAACACACACTCCAGATAGTGAGATTTTCCGGGAGAGTCCTCCAAACTCACCTAATACAAGGGAATGGGCGTATGCCCAAGGAGGTTTGGTCAGTAGGTCCAGGTGGAAGTCTGCAGTTGGGACAGAAGCTGGAAGGGATGTTCATGACCCTTTTTCAGCTAACGCACAACATGGGGTGGTTGGTCCTAGGGGCACCGAGGACACAGGATACAGCTCAGCCTTGGTAGGTGGCAGCGAAACATTAGACTTCCAAGATTGGTCCATTGTGGACCTGGGAAATTCCACAGCATTCAGGAGTGGGAAACAGGGCCCTGACAGACCGGGTAGAACGGTCGTAGAGGGTGAGCCACCTTGTGGCAGAAAAGGAAATCCTGGGCTGTGTAGCCCGATGGACAAGCTAGCAGGCCAGGCCCCTGTAGTTAAGTCACCGGGACCACCAGGGTATAGAAGAGGGGTTGTTCCCACTGCACATGAGGCTCATGGCAATCGAGAATGTTCCCCGGAGCTGAGGAGATCACAAAGAGAAAAGAGGTCCCCAAGATATTTGGAAGATTTTGTAAGGTTGTTGTCAACCTGTTAGTATACCTGGTAGCTGGGTGATAGCACGGTACCGTTTGTATCACCTGAGCTACCCTAGCGCAGTTATAGGTCTTTTAGGCCTCAAGCCCAATCAGAGGTCGCGGGCATGATACATGTGAGCACATGTGCCCGATGAGTTTAATCCGGGGGTGAAGGGGTGTTGTGTCCCGGGACTTGCAGCAAACAAGCCCGGGCAGTTGCCATGGCAACGGGCTGCAGAAGCTGCCCGGGGGCCAGACAAACTGGCAACAGCCTGCGCGCATGCGCAAGGAAGCGCGCGCGAGCAGTAGCAACTTTACCCGGACCGTTCTTGTTCGTTATTGTTGGTTGAAGCAGAGGAAGAAGCAGGAGGCCTGTGAGTCTCCGTTTTCACTGTATGACTCTAAGTGCCATTAAAGAAGACATTTGGTTCACACAATGCCTGTTGTACTAGTCATTGAATCCAAGGATTTAACACAAATAACTTCATCTGTTTCCTCCAAGGCATTTTACTATATTCTGTGATTTACTATGTTTCCCTTTTCCAAATATTTTAATATTTATATTGTTCATGTTACTTTTTAAAGCACACATTTGGAGATAGATTTTTAAATGTTGGAGATATATTTAAGCATAATTTTTTAAAAAATCTGCAGACTGATATATAAATAAGTCAAGTTTATGGATGTACATAAGCAAATCAGAAATATTTATTTGCTCAGGAATAGAATGGAGAGGATGTCAATAGGCCAGGTTTGAGGGAAATTCAAATTATTGTACATTGAGTTCACATGGGTAGGAGAGAGACTAAAATTAGGGGAACCTTTACATATTTTAAAAAGTGCTGAATCCAAATTTCAAGAGGAATTAGTGTTGAAGCACCCTTTAAAATAAACTTCCCATATCATTCTCCATTATGCAGAGTTCTCCTTTTCCAAAAAATTAAAAAAAGGATTTTTTTTCCACATGACATATTTCACTTCATTCCACTAGCTACAGTCCATAAAACTTAAATGTTTCTTGATTTGGTCTGCTTATATTTCAGCTATTAAGTTCCATCAGAGTAAAGTAAATGTGCATAAATAAATCTTGGCACAGAACTGCCTCTTTTGGAGCATGTGGGATAATTCACGTAGAAGTTTACACTGCATGATATTTAGAATTCTAGATAGGATACAATATCTATGAAAGATTAACAGGCTGTTGAGCAGACATTTTAAATGCATTTATTAATTAGGGTTCAGATTACGCTATATAGCAGGATTATTTTTTTTACACTAAAAGGTTTAATACATGCTTTTCTTATATAGGAACAAAAATTTATTTTACCTGATTGATTGTATGAAGCCCATGCTAGATTTTCTCCACATTTTCCACTGCTAGATTCAGGACTGTGTTTGAGGATTCTTGTGCTAGCAAGTGCTTCTGAATACCTTGTTTAACACAATAAGCAAATATTTGCTAAATATAGAGAGCACATAAAGGGTTTAGCCAGAAGTACATATGATTTAATTTGCAACAAAATTTTACACTAATGAGAAAAAGCCATCTATCCCCCTTTTTCCATTTTATTGTGCAGCCTTTGCTATCCTGTGGAGCATGATTGTCTGTTGGTTTATGGACAAATGGATTGCTCTTTAATATGACTGTCTGACTGGGCCTACAGAATCCCAGCCCTAGCACAGTGCTTCTTGTATTTAATAAGATTGAACTTCTTGCATTTAAGGTTCCTTCTCAGTATTGAATTTCTGTGATAGCCTCCATCTGGAATGTCTTCTACTTTGAACCATTTTTCTAATTTGTACTTCTTGCTGTATTTAGTTCTTGGCACAACGTTTGATTTGGACAATGAATACTGAATTCTATTGGTACAAACATTATTTCCTTTGAAATAGGTCTCTATTTATTTCAATGCTCTTGCTCCTGGATTTGCAACAGTTGTAACTGCTATTTAATTTTCCAGCCTGAAGAAGCCAATAGCTGTTAATGTAAGTTAAGTTTAGTGTTATTTGAGCCCACAAATTAATTTGTTCTTCTGTTTGCAGAAGTTGTTTGGAATGGGTTTGCACAAGTATGTTTTAGCAATTGCACTTAGACTTTACAGCACTCTCTGAGCAGTTTACAAAATCAGCAAATTGTCCCCAACAATTTGGGTCCCCATTTTACCAACCTCAGAAGGATGGAAGGCTGAGTCAACCTTGAGCCCCATCAGGAACAAACTCCAAGGTGTGGGCAGAGTCTGTCTACATTCTAACCACTGTGCCAACTTTTCCTTTTCAATCTGCCAGGGTATCTGAAGAAGAACTATGAACCTGAATTATTTGCAGAAGGCAAACACTCAGGTTGTAGGAAAGCAGAAATAGCATGTGTAGAATCTCTCTCTTCCTTCAAAAACAGATTTATTTTTCTACAATGCATAATGTGGGATTAGACAATGGGTCTACCTAGTAGTAGTATTCATCCTCATTGCTGAATTGCAATTCAGATGTAATCCATTAGAGTTCAACCTGCTGCTTCTATATATTAGGTGCTACTATGTACCACTTTCATCAGGTTGGTGATTTCCTCCCTACCCCCAGATAACAAAGGAGACATTGCTACCTTAATGTAATCAGCAGAGCTTCTTTTTCAATATCTTGAGCACTTACATATCCCTCAAGCGGCAATGTTGGTATTATGCAGTCAGATTACAGATGAATTCTGCTTCTTGCCATTTTCAGGGTTAACAACTCCCTTTTGCGAGAACAGGTGGACTACTGTGAGGCTGATGTGCAACACAAACAAATTGCATGGTCCTGTTCTAAGCAAGAAGTAGTGGTGGTGATGCGTAAGACATGCACTCTTTTCAGCTTTCAGCTGTGGGCTAGATGGATACTTCAACTGGCTTCTATATAATGTGGTGCCTGTGAAGGGTCAGATCAGGAAAATGTTCAACACTTGGAGGACGGCTTGGAGGAGGCTTCTATATAATATGGTGCCTGTGAAGGGTCAGATCAGGAAAATGTTCAACACTTGGAGGACGGGGACAATGCCAGCTTTTCTTTAAAAAGGCAGTGGTGTACCCACTCATGAAGGGGCTTTCCCTAGATTCAGTCAAAGATTAGACATTATCCAAAGTTTGCCTTTAAAAATAAGTTGTCATGGAGAAGTACAGAGATGATTTGGAAAAAATATGTGGTTATTGTATATTATTATTATTATTATTATTATTATTATTATTATTATTATTATTATTATTATTATTATTATTATTATTATTATTATTATTATTATTACTACTACTACTATTTAAGAACCAGTTTGGTTAAAAGCACCAGGCTAGAAACTAGGAGACTGTGAGTTCAAGCCCTGGTTTAAGCACAAAATGCAGGAAGAGGACAAGCTCTTTTGAAAATTTTGCTGAAAAGATTCATGGATTGAGACATCTGCCAAGAATCAAGACTGACTGAAAGGCCTATGCACACACAAAAGGACATATATAAATTATACGCTACATTTGTTACTATTGAAGAAATATTATCCATATAATATATAAATAATATATTATAGAGGATCTTACTAATTTAAATTATTGTAGCATCAAATTGTTCAATTCTACACAAATGCATTTTTATACAAATTACTATACCAGATTATAGCATGTCACCAATTTTCTTGTAAAAATGGTATTATCTTTGAAGCTAATATTTTGTAATCATGAAAAAGTATAAAACATTGGTTTGAGTAAGTATATTCTTGAGATCCACATTGCAGGTAGTCCTTGAGATACGATCTGACACTTAATAGCTATTGGAAGTTACAATGGACTACAAAAGCTACATATAATCCTGGTAGCTGGTTATGATCATTGGCCCTTATATCTGACCAGAGACACTCTAGAACAAGGATTTTCAACCAGTGGTACGGGTACCACCTGTGGTACATTGGCACCTGGCAGGTGGTACGCAACCATCCTAGAAAAGTGGTAGTGGGGGAGGGGAATGAGCTGAACCAGTGGCAGCACCGCCCAAGCCTGATGGGGGTTCTTCTGGGCTGAGCAGAAGCTCCAGGATCAGCGCCGAGCTCCAACTGGAGCCTGGCGCTGATCCTGGTGCTTCCACTGAGCCCTGACAGCCCCGAAGAAGCACTGATCCTGGCGCTTCCACTGAGCCCTGACAGCCCTGCAGCTCCAGCCATCTCTCGCTCAGGCTTGTGCGATGCTGCCACTGGTTCAGCTCATTCCCCTCCCCCGCTACCACTTTTCTAGGATGGTTGTGTACCACCTGCCAGGTGCCAATGTACCACAGGTGGTACCCATACCACTGGTTGAAAAGCCTTGTTCAACAGAATAACACAAAATGGTGCGGATCCCTTTTATACCCTTCTGCAGGGAGCAATGTCAACCAATAAATGCAATGTATTTTTCCCACCTTGCGCATGCGCAATAGGCTGGAGACAGCCTGTCTGGCCCGGGCAGCCTCGTGGTTTGCTCGGGACTCTCTGCAGCTTCCTACATCTGCTGTGTCAATCACAGCCCAGATCATAACACCCCTCCCCTCTTATTTCAAAACACATAGAACTTACTATTTTACATTACTACAAATCTAACAGCTTTTCAATTATTTTGAGCATGTTCTTATTTCTAAGAACACTTAAGCCTGCCCACCTACTAACAGGAACTTCACAAATACTTTGGTGGGCCTCTGGCCTGCTCTGATCTTTTTGAAGCAGTTGACAGTGCCCGGTCTACACGCTCACCTGCCAGGCTCAGCAGACTGGGACTTTGATGCCCACTAGGTACAGGTGAACCCACATCATGCTGACTGGCCGGGTCCTGTAAACCCAGACCAGAGTTCCTTGGTGGGGTGGAATTCCCCAGATCCATGACAGACCCCTCTTGGGAGCACTGTCCTGTAGGCACAAGGCCAGCAGATGGAGTGGCCTGAACAGCTGGTTTTGTGCAATGTCCCATGGACCCAGTGCCAGAGTTAGAAGCCGCCTCGTTGGCAAAACCCCTATGTGCAGAGTGCAGACCCCTGTTTCCGCAGGAAGACTGAGATCCATGATCGTGATCGTGGTCCTCCTCCCCCCCCCCTGAGAGCAGAGTCAGGAGCGGAAGGATGACTGGGTAGCCTCCAGTGCAGCTGGTGAATGTGCGGACGCAACACACGACCATCTTCCAGAGCCACTTTGTATGACAGCAGCCCAGTGACTTTGCAGACCACTGCAGTCACCCAGAGATGTCCAGGTCCATAGTTCCTTGCCCAAACCAGATCGCCCACCTGTAGTCTCCTAGGTGCCCGTGTCTGTGACACCTGTGAAGCCACCCGGTCTGGGTGCAATCTGTCCAGTTTGGTAATGAGACGGCGACCCCAGCGGAGTTCAGCTGGGCTTTTCCCAGTAGCTGTACAAGGTGTGATGCGGTGGCAAAGAAGAAAGTCAGCTAACCTGTGATGCCAGCTCCCATGAGTCTCTTCAAGGCGTCTTTGGTTGTGCGCACCATGCGCTCAGCTTGGCCGTTGGAAGCTGGATGAAAGGGTGCTGAAGTAGCATGGCGGATCATGTTGGCCTGTAGGAAAGCCTGAAACTCAGAAAAAGTGAATTGAGGGTCGTTGTCGGAGACAAGAACATCTGGGAGCCCATGGGAGGCGAAGATCCCCCTCAACACCTGGATGGTCCTGGCAGTCGTCGTAGTGGACATTGGAATGACCTCTAGCCATTTAGAGTGACTGTCCACAATGAGGAAGAATTGCCCCTGAAAGGGGCCAGCGTAGTTGATATGAACCCTCGACCAAAGAGCATGTGTTTCCTCCCACCTGTGTACAGGAGCCTGTGGCATTCCAGGCCTAGACTGTTGACAAATGTGGCACCCCTGGACCTGGGTCTCAATCTCCTTATCAAGCCCAAGCCACCAGAGATAGTTGCGCGCAAGAGCCTTCATCCGGACTATGCCCGGATGTCCCTCATGCAGAGATTGCAAGACTCTAGTCCTCAATGAGGTTGAGATCACTACCCTGCTACCCCACAGGACACAACCCTTAAAGGTGGATAACTCATGCTTCCTTTTCCAGAAATTCTGGAAATTGGTGCCAGGACACGTGTCAGGCCATCCTGACAGCACCCATGTCAACACACGTGTTAATGTGTGATCATTGGTTGTTTCTGCAGCCACATCCCTTGCATTGAGGGGTGACTCAGGCAACTCCTGAATAGCTAGTATGTGGTTAGCTGGAGCAGGATCTGATTCAACAAGCTATAGAGGCAACCGGCTAAGGCCATCTGCATGGCCGATTTCTTTGCCTGGTTTGTGAACCAGTGAGTAGTCATATGCAGAAAGGAAAATTGACCACCTCAACATTCTAGGAGAAATTATGTGTGGGGTTTGCTTGTTTGTTGTAAACAACCCCAACAGTGGCTTATGGTCTGTAAAGACCGTGAAGTGGCAACCATACAAAAAGTCATGGAACTTTTTTATGCCAGCCACTATGGCCAAGGCTTCTCTGTCTATCTGTGCGTAATTACGCTCAGCAGATGACAGAATCCTAGAATAGTAGGCTACAGGGACTTGTGTCCCATCAGCCTTGAGGTGACTCAAAACAGCCCCGATCCCATAAGGGGATGCATCTCAGGCTATACATACTGGCAGCTGCTCATTGAAATGAGTGAGAACAGCATTTGAAGACAACAATGCCTTGACCTCTGCAAAACTCCTTTTGTGGACTTGTGTCCACTTCCATGGAGCCTGTTTGTCCAAGAGCCGGTATAACGGCTCTGCCACTGCGGCCTTGTGAGGGAGGAAAGAATGATAGAAATTTAGAAGCCCAAGGAAAGCTTGAAGCTCGCTCTTCGACTTGGGGCTTGGGGCCTGCTGAATCGCTTTGAGCTTAGATTCAGCAGGATGGATGCCTTCTGCATCTATACGAAACACCAGGAATTCAGTGGAAGTGACTCCAATTTTGCATTTGTCTTGCTTAAGCTTTAGCCCCGCTTTGCAGAAATGCAGCAAAACGGACCGAAGCCTCTCAGTCAAGTTTTCGGGTGATTCCCCTGCGATGAGGACATCATCAAAATATGGGCAAACTCCCGGAATGTTACGGAGCGTTCGCTCCATAACGCTTTGGAAAATGCCAGGGGCTACGTTAACCCCAAACTGCAGTCTTCTGACTTTCAAATCTCCCCGGTGCGTTACGATCGTCTGGGCCTCTGCCATTGCCTCATCAACCTGTAGCTGTTGATAGGCCTGAGCCAAGTCAAGTTTTGCGAAAACCTGGCCTCCTTTAAGCAGCACCGGATAAGAGTGCTGCTGTAATGCTTTGTTTAATGTGCCTTTATAGTCAACACAAATGCGGACTTCCCCGTTGGCCTTAAGTGGCGTGTCTATAGGTGTTCCCCATGGACTGCTATCCACAGGTTCTAAAATACCTTGCTGGAGCAGTTTGTCCAGCTCGGCATTAATCTTTTGCTTCAGCGCAAAGGGCACCCGATGAAGCTTAATTCTAATTGGGGCAATGGATGGGTCCAACCACAATGCAATTGGAGGCCCCTTGTACGACCCTAGTTCTGGGCTAAACACATCAGCAAACTCCTTGCAAACTTCAGCAAGACCTGCTGTTTGCAAGCTGTGTAGCCCAGTCACTTGAATCCCAAGTGCCTCAAACCAATCAAGTCTAATTAGACTTGTATGGTCACCCTCAACCACAACAATGTCCAGGAACCCTTTGAATTGCCTACGCTGCACTCTGAGCGTGGCCTCCCCTTTCAACCTGACTCGGGAATTCTGAAAATATGTTAAGATCAGATTCGACGGCCTGAGTTTAACTCGCTGGCTGCTTCTACAGCAGATTTGCTTGAAGGTGTCCTGGGATATGATTGACAGAGCTGAACCCGTGTCCAGCTCCATCATTAAGGGAACCCCCTGCAAATTGACATCAATGTGCAGATTTTTCTTCAATGGTCGGTGGCCCCCAGTTCTCAAAACACTCCTACAGGACGTGCAGAAACCCACCCTATTCTGGCTGGGGACCCTGATACCTTTCTGAGGCAATTTTTCCAAAGGACGGTCTTTCTTGCGACCCAAACAGATGGCGACTATGTGACCTTGCTGGCCACATGCCTGGCAAATAGCAGAGCGGAATCGGCAATCGAAGCGCTTGTGGCGTCCTCCACATCCGAAACACCAAGGGAATTGAACTGCCTTGTCAGCTTGCTTGTCAGCTCGCTCTTGGGGCCTTCTCTCCGCTGGCTGCTATAGACGGTTGACCTCATTTTCGAAATTCAACTCAGCTACCTCTTGAGCAACCTCTTGATGGATGGATCCCAAACTCGTAGGGTGCTTGGAAAGCTGCAAGGCCTTGACTGCTCCTCCCGCTGCTTCGTCGGCCGTGATCTCCCTTAGTGCATCCTGGAAGGAAACGTCTTCCTTTGCAAAAATCTTTTGCTGCAGCTCGCAGCTCCTCAAACCACAAACTAGACAATCTCGAAGTCCTTCCTCCAGGTCTTTGAACTCACAGGGCCTAGCAGCTTGTCGCAGCACAGCAATAAAGTCCGCAGCAGACTCTCCTGGACGTTGATCCCACTGTTCAAATGTGTGATGCCATGCAATCACCGATAGCTTCGGTTCAAAATGTTCCCTTAACATTTTCTTCAGCTCAGTATAAGCGATGGATTCCAGAGGTGCTGGGGCAACCAGATTTTTGGCAATATCAAATGTCTCTTGCCCAGAGACATACAGTAACATTGCAGCTTTGAGCCCGTCTTCCCGAACTTGGTTTACTCGAAAGTAGTTTTCTACTCTGGCAACATATGAGCTCCAACGTTCAGGGTGAGCTGTATCGAATTCGGACAAATGCCTTATCTTAGACATCGTTACTTCTTGGCAGCCTCGTCAATGCCTCATGCTGCTCTGGCTTGTGAAGGGGTTCCAGGACGAATCTTGCCGAGCTCTCCTCCAGTGTCTTCGTACTGGCAGGCAGAGTCACATGAGTTTGGAACGCCGCACTTCCAAGCGCTTCGGGCCTTCCGTGGTGAGTCAGCCTCTTTTTCTATCATTGTTTCCTTGCAGCATGATCCCACCTTCATCGCCAATGTTCTGTTCTGAGCATTGGTAAGGCATTGAGACAAGACAGGAGTAACAACAGTTGCTTCTTTATTCAATCTTCAACAGAACAACACAAAATGGCGCGGATCCCTTTTATACCCTTCTGCAGGGAGCAATGTCAACCAATAAATGCAACGTATTTTTCCCGCCTTGCACATGCGCAATAGGCTGGAGACAGCCTGTCTGGCCCGGGCAGCCTCGTGGTCTGCCCGGGACTCTCTGCAGCTTCCTGCACCTGCTGTGTCAATCACAGCCCAGATCATAACACCTTCCCTACCTCAGAAACTCACATTTCTTCAATAAAGAAAACAATAAAACCAAAAAGTTTGGAGGGACAGACTTATTGATCTTTCGTCCTTCCCCTCAATTAGCTACTAAAACTAAACACTCTGTCCTCCAATCTCAATCCCCAGCTCATTTGCTAAATTTACTGCATGCCTTAACCAGCTCATTTGCTAAATTTACTGCATGCCTGGAAAGTTACTCTGTAAGTTGCCTATTTTACTGACAGGTTGAAGAGCTTAAAAAAGAAAAGAAGGAGAGAAGGAAAGAACATCTTTTTGTTTGTGTTGAAGAACTGAAGAAAACGTTCAGCTCAAAAAAAATGCAGCTAGGGCATAAATGTGCAGCAAATGGCTGCAACAAAAGCTGGGTCCTAAAGGGAGTCAGATAGCAAAACACTTGGAAACTTTTGAAAACTTTTTGCTGCATTATCCCGACAGGCAGCTGATCAGAGTAGAGGCCCATCTTACAAGTGTGGCTTCATTGACCAAGCATGGAGGCTTGTTTGGAAGTTTTCTGGCATTAGAATGCAGTGTTGGGCCTCAATTTAGCTGTGCTCTTCCACTCTTCTGGACTGCTTTTCGCTTTGCTTTTTGGTGCTTGTCTGTCTCAGTTGGGTAGTGGGGCCGCCCAGGGCCCCCTTCACCCATCAGGTACCACTGTTTGCTTAGCAACCTGCATATTCATATAACAGTGGCATTAGGGAGAGCAGGGAGTGAGGTTCATTAAGAGATATTATCTCACTTAATATTTGTCATCACTTTCAACCATAATGGGCTGCAGGTTCCATTACAGTCATGGACTACTTGTATCAAAAAGATTGTCTGCAACCCAAGTATAATGCTATCATATTTTTCAATCAAGAAGATCTCATTGTACTTACTGCTGTGCTTCTCTATTTAATTTTTTACAGAGTTTTAGTGAAGGAACACCGTGCTTCTTCCTGTAGTCATTGTGGGCTCTTAAGACTTCTCCTGAAAATTGCTTGGAAGCTAATGGAGTATAAAATATTAGAAATATTACTAAATAAGAGCATGGCAAAATGCAAAAAAAACCTGTAAAGAATAAAGTCAGTTTTATAATTTATAGAAAACTTACTCTACAATATTTGAGTCTTGGATATATGAACTCTACAAAGATACATTTTAGAATTAAAATTTGAATCAGTCCAATCCATCCATTCATTCATTATTTTGTTCAACAATTGAATGGTTAATAAATTGAGGCACAAATGAAGATAATTAGTTAACCCTAAGCTAATATCTCCTAATATTCCTATGGGAATTCTGTTGATAATTTGAGGGTGGCTGTGCTGCTCTTTATTCATCCCTGATTTCTGTCTCAAAATACAGGTAGTCCTCGAGTTACAAATGGAATGGAGCTTGCCCATTGCATTTGTAACTCGAGGATTTGTAGGAATAAATCTCATACCTTGAACGAAATCATTCCCTGCTTTTACCCACTAATCGAATGCATCGTATGTTAAGTGCACATGAGGTATCTCAGGATGAGGAAGGCCATGGGGGGCCTAGTGATGGAAGAGGCCCCCAAGGCCTCCCCAACCTACTAAGATACTTCATGCTTCTCCCTCCCTTCCTGCTGCACTGGACTCACTTATCTTGCAAAGATCTGTCTCCTCTCTGCTGCTATTTCTTTGCCTTTAAGGGAGAGGAGAGTCAATGGAAGCTCCTAGGTGCCTTAATATCACACGAGTTCAGGCACCCATCCTCTTTTGCAGACAAACCTTCCAGTCTCCATCAACTCTCTGTCAGGTCTCCATCCAGGAGGAAAATATTTGAACGCCTATGGGGCGCTTGGAAATGGAGCGATTTGCTCCCTTCTGAGTTTCTCATAGGTACTCAAACACTTTTCACCCTGACAGAGACCTGATAGAGACTGAAAGCTTTGTCAGCATGCAAATGGAGTGCTTGGAAGCAGAGCAATTCGCTCCATTTCCAAGCACCCCATTTGCAAGCAGACGAAGCTTCCAGTCTGTCTGAGTGAAAGGTGTTTGAGTACTTATGAGGTGCTTGGAAACAGAGCAATTTGCAAATTGGGTGCTTGGAAATGGAGCAATTCACTTTGCTTCCAAACACCCCATTTGCACACAGATGAAGCTTCCAGTCTCCGTCAGGTCTCCATCCAGGTGAAAAGTATTCCGGTGGTGGCAGAAAGCAGTTGGGGGAGAGGAGCAGGAGACAGGCACTGCAAACACTTTTCATGCTGAGAATGAAGTTTTCTGGGGTCCGTGATCTCATGAGAGTTCAGGCACCTAGTCTCTGCAAAAGAGGTTGGGTGCCTGAACTCGTGCAATATTATGGCACCTAGGAGCTTCCATCGACTCTCCTCTCCCTCAAAGGCAAAGAAACCATGGCAGAGAGGAGACAGATTTTTGCAAGGAAAATGAGTCAGGTGTGGCAGGATGGGAAGGAGAAGTGGTTGTGTGGAGCAGGCGGAGAATAGGGTGAATGTTGCAGAGCCTCTGCAGTCGTTCGTAAGGCAAACAACTGCAGTGGTGCTGCAACATTTGTAATTTCGGAACTTGCTCATAAACAGTAGGGGGCACTTATCACATACCTTCGAACAGGTGCTAAGTGAATGCTCATAACTTGGGGATTACTTCTATGTACAGGTAGTCCCTGACTTATTACCATTTGTTCAACAACCATTCAAAGTTACAACAGCAATTTAACTCCCACCCACCTGCCTATCTACCCTTCACTGATAACTTTCATTGCCCTGTGCTCTGATGCCCTTTTAACTTTTACTGTCTTCTTGCTTCTATTGCTGACATGGCATGCATTGTCAGGCTGCAAGGCTTGGATTTGCACTGTGACAAAAAAAGCCAAAAGCAGCCACAAAGCACCAAGAAGCCCCTAGGTGGGACAAGGAGGAAGAAGAGGAAGAGGGCGGAGGAGGAGGGGGAGGAGGGAGGAGGAAGAGGGGGAAGAGGAGGAAGAAGAAGAGGAGGAGGAAGAAGAAAATGAGGAGGAGGAGGAAGAGGAAGAAGATGATGATTCAAGATCCCTTCCAAATCTGTTATTCTGTTAAAAATTCTATTTCTAACATGTGTAATATTAATATGCAGATCTTCCATTTTGCTGAAAAATAACCTAGACCAAATGTATACATTTAAATTTTAAAAAAAGAATATAGAATGTAGAGTAGTGGGGTTGGAGGAGACCTTCAAAGTCTTCTAGTCCAGCCCCCTACACATGGAAGGAGATCTTATAACATTCTGGAGAATTGGCTGTCCAATCACTTTTTGAAAATCTCCAGCAATTGATCATCCAGAAGCAGGCTGTTTCACTGATTAATTGTTCTTACTCTCGGGAAATTTCTCCTTAGTTATAGACTGGATTTTTCTTTAATGATCTTCCATCCATTATTTCTTGTCCTGGCCTCAGGTCCTTTGGAGAAAAAGGTGACCATCTCAGCCCTTTAAATACTGAAAAGCTGCTATCATATCACCCTTAGTCCTTCTCTTCATTAGACTAGACATACTGTATATACATATACATATACAGTGGATATAAAAGTTTACCCATCTCAGTTAAAATGCCTGGGTTTGAGATGTAAAAAAATCAGACCAATATAAATCACTTCAGAATTTTTTTTGTCTTTAATATAACATATGAGCTGTACAATTCAGTTGAAGAACAAACTGAAATCTTTTAGGGCGAAAAAATAAAAATAAAAAAGCTTACAATAATGTGGTTGCATAAGTGTGTACATCCTCTTCTAAGTAGGAATGTTGCTCTCTTCAGAATTAACCAAACTAATTCAAACTGATAAATAGTAATCAGCATATACTGCCATCAATTAAAGTGACTCTGATCCAGTCTATGTAAAGTTCAGTGCTTCTAGAAGGATTTTTATGACAATTGCCTGTTACTTCTTAGAGCAAAGTCACAGTCTGCAAAGAGCTTATAAAATATTAAAAGGATCGTATTGTTGAAAGGAATCAGTCAGGAGAAGGGTTCCATATCATTTCCAAGGCAATGGATATACCATTGTGGGAACAATCCAGAGAAAAAAATATTTTTGGGAATATTAAAAAGGCATAATATATTTCCCCAAAGGATTTTAAAAGCAGAAATCAACACACACACACACACACACACACACACAAGTCTCTCTGCCCCAAACAGAAACCAGGTCTACAGAAATGCAGATGTGATAATCTTGTCAGAAAGATTGGAGTCAGGAAACTGGGATTAGAAAGAAAGATCCCTAGAATCAACAATCCCTCACACCAAAAATCCAACAGTCATCAACTACAGCCCCAGGGAAGCAGGATATGACCTTTGGGACATAATAGAATTAATCTACCACCATCAGAATACCAGAAAGGCACACTCACACTCAGGTCAAAGTTCATGCCACAGGAACAACTCCAAACAAAAGCCCAAGAAGGTATTAAAACCCACCTCCTACTGTATATGGTTACTTTTTTTCCAGAGCCATCTCTCTGTCTGGCTTTAAACTAAAACCTTCTTTCTAAAGCAGTCTCCATTTTTGTCTATTTCTGACTTGGACTGGACCCTGATGAAGATTTTTCCTTCAACAATTTGGCACTCAGGACAGGACTCCAAGCTAACCTCTTCAATGAACTGAGACTGGTAAGTCCATCTTGCCAGCAGTAGACCCCTTGTGTCTGTGGATGGGTTTCCCAGGTCCTGCCCATGTGGAGCGAGGGTAGTAAAGGGAGTTTTGAGTTTGAGCTCAAGGTCTGTTTTGGAAAGAAGGTGAAAGTGAGTACCTCTAAATTTTAACTTTAAAGCCCAGGGGGGTGAGAGAAATGTGTGTATGTCTGTGTGTGTGAATGAGAAGACCTTTTCCCAATCACAGTTGGATCTTTCTCCCTCTGGCCTTTCCTAACAGCAGAAAGAATCTGTTTAAGTGACAGACCCTGGAAAGCATGAGGGTTTGGCCAGAGCACAGGATCTTTTGTTAGGGAAAAGGGAGAGGCTGTGTGAGATGGAATGGAAAAGTGAATGAGAGAATTGGATTTGGGCAACCAGCTGGTAAGGCCCAGTAAGCAAAGCCCAGGTCTGGGAAGGAGGTACTCATGTTTGCTGCTTGGAAGAAGCAGTCAAGTACTCTCAGACTTCTCTGAATCCAAAATAGTAAAAGTAGAAGTGCACACAAAGGAAATGTTGTTCAGGAAAAGTTGTGAATAAAAGTGTAGTTGTAAGCAGTTGTGAAAACCCAGTGGAAGAAGGTTCCCATACCTGTTGGTTGGGGACAGCAGGTCCTCTCAGACCTCTTTTTGGTCTGAAAACTGAAGGCAGTGTTCACATTAAAGGAGGGGCCTGTTCTGTTTCTTGCGTTGGTAGGCATTGAAAAGGCAGGACTCACAAAGAGGTACTTCTTTATTTGCAGCTAAACAGAACTCTGAACAAAATGGCTCCACCCCTTTTTATACATTCAGTTTAGGGTGCTGTCAGCCAATGAGTGCAACATATTCTCCCACTTAAATGCATACTAATGATTAGCCAGACAGTAAGTCTGATTAGTAGGCCACATGGTCTGCTAATGATTTCCTTGCACCTGTTCCTAGTTTAAGCACAGTACATAACACCCCTCCCCTCCTGGATCTTTAGCACATACTTCCTATTTTACAATACTATACCCGTTCCCACAACACACATTATAACAGTCCATAATACACAACATTATAAGTCCTACAAACACAATATTAAAATGCTGTACATTTCCATTTCAAAGTAGCATACATAAGCATTTCAGTTTGCAATAAAAATACATAAGCATTTTCTTTAAACTTGCAGTGACAGAAACCTTATGTAGTCCTTCAAAAACTTTGGTGGGCCCTTGGCCCGCTCCGATCGTCTCAAAGCTGCTGCTAGTGCCCGATCTGCAAGCTTGCCTGCCAGACTTGGCAGACCGGGACTTTGGGACCCATTTAATACAGGTGAAACTGGATCATGAAGGCTGGCCTGTTCCAGTAGACCCAACCCTTTGTCCATTT